AATATTAATAATTTATTACTATGCGATAAGTCAAGATTATTTGTTGTGTAGTCTTTTGCCCCCTGTTATCAGGTGTATCTGATTGTGTACAATAGGATTTAGAGCAAAGTTTTTACCATTAAATTATGCAAAAAGTGTCAGACGCAAAACATTTCAGAAACCGTATTTGGCATTATAGGGTTAAATTAACAGGAAATCTGTAGGAGACTTGAATATTTGCAAAAGTAAAGATTTAAATGTGGCAAAGAATGAACCACTAGATAAAAAAAACATGATATAGGAAATCCTCATATGAAAAACACACTCAGTCTTAAAAATGACCTCAAACCCTTACATTTCAAATTCTCTTGACAGTAATTTTTCACGTCTGGGGGAATGTCTGGTGTGTTGTCATGTCTTTATTACCTATTGTGTACACCTGGGGTTCCCCTCCCTCATGTGTTTAAATAGTCTGAGTTTCCCCTTGTCCTGTGCCAGTGAGATTTGTGTATCTTTGCAAATCCATGCAAAAGCTGTGTTTTTCATATGAGGATTTTCTAATTTATGTTTTTTTTTGTACCCTATAATGCCAAATGTATCATATTTGATACGGTTTCTGAAGTCTTTTGGATCTGAGACTTTGTGCATCATTCAGTGGTAAAAGCTTTGCTCAAACCCCTGTTGTACACATTCAGATATCCCTGATAACAGCCAGTAGAAGACTACACCAACATATATTTTTGACTTATTGCACGCTAATTTGATCAAAATAATTTCATTTTTTTCCTTCATATGTTGTTGAGAGGCCAAAGAAAGAATTCACAATAAAAAAAATCCAATATTCTTCCTACTTTTCTTGGATCGTGCTTTAAAGGGTTAATCTAGTGGTTAATTCTTTGCTGCGTTTAAATCTTTACTTTTGCAAATATTCAAGTCTCCTACAGATTTCCTGTGAACTTAAGATTTTAGAGGCTTTTACTCTTTTTTTTCAGCTTGGCAAAATCATGTGTGGACCTTTCCTGAAGTTCGTGGCGCACGCGGCCTCATTTGTGATTTTCCTGAGTCTCCTGCTGCTGAACGCAGCCGACCGCTTCACAGGAACGGCCCTGCTGCCCAACATGACCGCCCACGACTTCCCGACCCAGCTTTTCCGGGTCAAGACCACCTCCTTCTCCTGGATGGAGATCCTCATCATCTCCTGGGTCATAGGTAAGGGCAGTAAACTTTTTCTCTGCGTCAACCTGTTAGGAAGGTTTCTCTGTGTTAGGTTCTTGCTTTTAGAATGACATTACACCAGTGTTTTTTTAACCTTTTTTGACCCAAGGTACATTTTCTTCATTGGAATAATCACGAGGCACACCACCAACCAAAGATGTCAAACAAATCTTATTTTATCTTAAGTGTCTTGAATAGGAATCAAATAAACACAAAAATGTATTTTTATCATATTTTATATTTCTTCTTTCAAATTGCTCTTAACATGTCCACTTCAATATACAAAATTATTTACAAAAATCTAGTCATAAGGAATTATTACATGATTACGCCACCAGTCACTAGAACAGCACACACACTCAAAAATTATTTGCAGATAATTAATTCCTTATCAAAAAATCTTTTTAGACCAATTAGGTGAAATAGGATGATTTTCTACAGCACACCTTACCATCACTCACTAGTGTGCGGAGGCTCAGTGGTTGAAAAACACTGCATTACACTACTCTGAATTCATGTTTTTGGAGTCAGGCCCACTCTATGAAAGGTCATCTCTCTTTTGGATAATTTACTGTGTCACACATGAACCACATGCACCATTAATGTGGTGTGTCTTTTCCGGTTCAAAAAGGAAAAGACAAAACTTTTACTTGTAGCCATATCCCTTTTTTTCCTCCCACATGCATTATTGGTGAAATTTATAATATTCTAACATACAGTGGGGGAAATAAGTATTTGACCCCTTGCTGATTTTGCAGGTTTGCCCACTTACAAAGAATGCTTATTTTTCCTCATCAGATGGTTATCAATTTTTATAAATTCATATGATGTGATTTTCTGGAATTTTCTTTGGGATTCTGTCTTTCTCTGTTAGAATGTACATATGATTAAAGTTATAGATCGTTGCATTCTTTGTAAGTGGGCAAACCTGCAAAATCAGCAAGGGGTCTAATACTTATTTCCCCTTCTGTAAATGTAATTCTTTTTCAATTTTTTGGTACATTAACTATTCAATTAAAGGGAAACCTTTGTGACTGTCAATCAAATAACAAAGCTATCTTTGTTTTTCTTTCTTTATTCTCCAAACAGGGAAAATCTGGGAAGAATGTAAAGACATTTGGTCACAGGACATTGGAGAGTACCTCTCAGAACCCTGGAACCTGCTTGACTTTAGTATTTTGACCATATTTATGACGTCTTTCATTGCCAGATTAATGGCCTTCTGGCATGCACATTCTGCTCAGAGTTACGTTGACAAGCACTCTGCTGACCTACCAAACATCACTCTGCCCTACGAGGTTCAGTATTTCCAACTGGGTGAGTGTGGACATGAATGTGACTTCAAAGAGAGTACGTTTAAGAAGTGTTTTGTTAAAATACGCCAAATAAAATAAATGTTTAATTTAACCCAAAAAGTATAATCACAGATGTTTTGTTTTTTTCTGTTTCCTAGTTTATTTAGTGATAAAAAAAAAGTATTATTATAGAAATACTTTAAAAAATGGGACAAAGAGAGTACGTTTAAGAAGTGTTTTGTTATAATACGCTAAATAAAAGTACAACACTTTTACAAAGTTTAATTCAACCCAAAAAGCATCATCACAGATGTTTTAGGTTTTTCTGTTTCCTGGTTTATTTAGTGTAAAAAAAAAAAGGTATTAATATAGAAATACTTTTTTTAAAAATGGGACAGAAAGAGTACATTTAAGAAGTGTTTTGTTCAAATACGCCAAATAAAAGTACAACACTTTTGCAAAGTTTAATATACCCCAAAAATGATCATATCAGATGTTTTGGGTTGATCTGTTTCCTGGTTTATTTAGTGTTAAAAAAAAGGTATTAATATAGAAATACTTTTTAAAAAATGGGACAGAGAGAGTAAGTTTAAGAAGTGTTTTGTTCAAATACGCCAAATAAAAGTACAACGCTTTTGGAAAGTTTAATTTAACCCAAAAAGTATCATCACAGATGTTTTGGGTTGATCTGTTTCCTGGTTTATTTAGTGTAAAAAAAAGGTATTATTATAGAAATACTTTCTAGAAAATGGGACAAAGAGAGTAAGTTTAAGAAGTGTTTTGTTCAAATACGCCAAATAAAAGTACAACACTTTTACAAAGTTGAATTCAACCCAAAAAGCATCATCACAGATGTTTTGGGTTTATCTGTTTTCTGGTTTATTTAGTGTAAAAAAAGGTATTACTATAGAAATACTTTTTGAAAAAATGGGACAGAGAGAATACATTTAAGAAGTGTTTTGTTCAAATGTGCCAAGTAAAAGTACAACACTTTTACAAAGTTGAATTTAATCCAAACAGCATCATCACAGATGTTTTGGGTTATTCTGTTTCCTGGTTTATTTAGTGTAAAAAAAAAGGTATTATTATAGAAATACTTACAAAAATGGGACAAAGAGAGTACGTTTAAGAAGTTTTTTGTTCAAATGTGCGAATTAAAATAAAAGTTTACTTCAACCCAAAAAGCATCATCACAAATGTTTTGGGTTTTTCTGTTTCCTGGTTTATTTAGTGTAAAAACAAAATGTATTATTATAGAAATACTTTTTAAAAAATGGGACAGAGAGAGTACTTTGAAAAAGTGTTTTATTCAAATATGCCAAACAAAAGTACAAAACTTCTACAAAGTTTAATTCAACCCAAAAATTATCATCATAGATGTTTTGGGTTTTTCTGTTTCCTGGTTTATTTAGTGTAAACAAAAAAGGTATTATTATAGAAATACTTTAAAAAATGGGACAAAGAGAGTACGTTTAAGAAGTGTTTTGTTCAAATACACCAAATAAAATAAAGGTCTAATTTAACCCAAACAGCATCATCACAAATGTTTTGGTTTTTTCTGTTTCCTAGTTTATTTAGTGTTAAAAAAAAAGGTATTACTATAGAAATACTTTTAAAAAAATGGGACAAAGAGAGTACTTTTAAGAAGTGTTTTGTTCAAATGTGCCAAAAAAACTGTTACACTTTTACAAAGTTTCATTTAACCCAAAAAGCATCATCACACATGTTTTGTGCTTATCTGTTTCCTGGTTTATTTAGTGTAAAAAAAAAAGTTATTAATATAGAAATTCTTTAAAAAATGGGACAAAGAGAGTACATTGAAGAAGTGTTTAGTTAAAATACGCCAAATAAAAGTACAACACTTTTACAAAGTTTAATTTAACCCAAACAGCATCATCATAAATGTTTTGGGCTTATCTGTTTCCTGGTTTATTTAGTGTAAAAAAAAAGGTATTATTATAGAAATACTTAAATTTAATACTTAAAACCAATCATCACAAATGTTTTGGGTTTTTCTGTTTCCTGGTTTATTTAGTGCAAAAAAAAAAGCAGAAAAGCTTCAGTATTTCTCTGTTTTCAGCTCGAATCCACTGGATGCCCTCTGACCCTCAGCTCATCTCTGAAGGCCTTTATTCCATCGCGGTCGTTTTGAGCTTTTCGCGTATCGCTTACATCCTGCCGGCCAACGAGCGGTTCGGGCCTCTGCAGATCTCTCTGGGCAGAACCGTGAAGGACATCTTTAAGTTCATGGTGATTTTTATCACCGTGTTTGTGGCGTTCATGGTGGGAATGTTCAACCTGTACTCGTACTACCTTGGAGCCAAACACAACAACGCCTTTACCACGTAAGTACAAACCTCCTATTCCAGAGTTTACAGAAAAAAGGAAAATGTTTTAGTCACAATAGAAGTTTATATGAGACTCTGTTTGTTTTTTCTAATTTCTCTTCTTCTATTCTTAAACCTCTAGAGTGGAAGAAAGTTTTAAAACCTTATTTTGGGCCATTTTTGGGCTCTCAGAAGTCAAATCGGTGGTCATCAACATCAACCATAAGTTCATTGAGAACATAGGCTACATTCTTTATGGAGTCTACAACATCATCATGGTGATCGTGTTGCTGAATATGCTCATAGCAATGTTTAACAGCTCCTTCCAGGAAATAGAGGTACGCACACTGTCCACATTTGTGAATTACCGTCTCAGTTTCGCCTCTCTTGCATTATCTATGACAGTGTTTTTCAACCGCTGTGCCTCGGAACAGATTAGCTTTGTAGCTACAATCCGGCATATTTACATTTGTTTTCACTGATGTCCATTAATGTGCTTTGTCCCTATTCAAATAAATAAAAAAATAAAAAAATAAAACACTAGTGTGCCGCAAGTGATGGTCAGATGTGCCGTAGAAAATCATCCTATTTCACCTAATTGGTCTAAAAAAATGCCATTTTTGAGTGTCTGCTGTACTAGTGACTGGTGGCGTAATCATGTAATGATTCCTTATGACTAGATTTTGTAAATAATTTTGTATATTGAAGTGGACATGTTAAGTCCAATTTGAAAGAAGAAATATAAAATATGATAAAAATATTTTTTGTGTTATTTGATTCCTATTTAAGACACTTAAGATAAGATAAGATAAGATAAGAATAACTATAGTGTTACTATAGGCGGCTATAGATTTATTTTACATTTTTGGTTGTGTGCCTTGTGATTTTTTCCATGAAAAAATGTACCTTGGGCTCAAAAAAGGTTGGAAAACACTGGTCTATGAGTCCAAATCAATACTGCAGAATATACTACAGTAGTCCCCCCCCCTGACTGAGCTGCTCTCATGTGTTGGTGCAGGATGATGCTGATGTTGAGTGGAAGTTTGCCAGAGCAAAGCTGTGGTTCTCCTACTTTGAGCATGGCGGGACTTTACCTGTCCCCTTCAACCTGGTTCCCAGTCCCAAGTCTGTCCTCTCCCTCCTGTCCTGGATCAAGGAATTTATTTGGAATGCACTTTCAGGAAAAAGCAGTGAAAATTCAAATGGTGACGTGGAGCTGAACAATGTAAGGGATTGTACATTTAACCTTTCAAAGCCTGATCCAAGAAAAATAGGAAGAATATTGGATTTTTTTAGTCTGAAGTCTTTCTTTGGCCCCTTAACAACATATGAAGAAAAAAAACTGAAATTATTTTGATCAAACTAGCGTGCAATAAGTCAAAAATGTATGTTGGTGTAGTCTTCTACTGGCTGTTATCAGGTATATCTGAATGTGTACAACAGGGGTTTGAGCAAAGCTTTTACCACTGAATGATGCAGAAAGTCTCACATCCAAAAGACTTCAGAAACCGAATGAATCAATTATGATAAATTTGGCATTATAGGGTTAAAACCAACACTTTATTGAGGTTTCAGGGTATGGTTGTGCATAAAACAGCAGGAAACGGTTATTTAAGACCGTTGTTATAGGCAGTACAATGGTAATAATAATAATAATAATTCAAATGCATTAGGAAAATGTGCTGTGCTAACAGGTTTATTCTCTGTTTTGGGTTTGTTTTGCAGTTAAGAACAAATGAAGAACAGAAAATGGAGACTCCTCATCCTGAAACGCGTCATCAGGTAAAGCAGATTTAATTTCCTAGCGTAGGAACTGAGCTGTTTAAATGACGGCACATTGCCTTTCCTGTGTAAAGTCCTGCATGCAAACACCAAGGAACTGTGCACGGTTGCTTGATTATTTTAGTACTTAAGCCAAACTGCTGTATACACAGCACATTAAACACCTTGTGGGCTACATGTAACTTATGGGCCTTTCTCCTCCCATCACTAACCTTTCTGACTTCTCGTTATAGAAAGTAATGAACTGCCTCATTAAAAGATACGTCTTAAAAGCACAGACGGATAAAGACAACGATGAGGTGAATGAAGGTGAGTTCAGAAGTGTTACCTCCTACATTGCTTTAAAGGAGACATATTATACCCTATTTCAACAAGTTAAGCTAGTTCCCTGGTGTCCTAATGTAATGTCTGTGACAACCTTTGGTCCAAATCCCATAAGGATGAAGCCCAATAGCAGTTCAGTCCCCCTGCCTAACCCTAACCCTAACCCTAACCCAAAACAGCCCCGTTCAGAGCGCTCGCTTTGGAGTGCCTGTCTCTTTAAATGCAAATGAGACACAGGCAATCCGCCCACTTCTTCAGGGAGGTGGACTTGCGTCTCACCGGCGACATGTTCTCTCATAGAACCGTTCCCTTTTTCTTATTTGCCTACAGTCTATGCTCATCTCCCATCAAAAGTGGCACTGCCCCCTAGAGGGTCAATTTGTTACTACATACTCTGTCTAGAAGCCCATATTTACGGACAAGCTTTAGCAGATCGTCCTCCAGACACTCTTGTTGAAAAACATAAAAGACCTCTATAGACGTCTTTGGCAGCCAATGAGTTAAGCATCAACACATTTCATACATATTTCGTTGTTGGCTTTCTGTCCCTCAGGCGAGCTGAAGGAGATCAAGCAGGACATCTCCAGTCTGCGCTACGTGCTGCTGGAAAGGGGAAACCACGACATGAAGACGCTGACAGAGCTGGTCCGGCAGCTGGATGAAGTTATCCACGAAAACCAGGAGGAAGAGCAACAGGACTTGGATGAATTCTCAAAAAAACTGGAGACATTAGGGGAGTAGTAATGGCATGAACCTATACAGTGGGCGAAATAAGTATTTGACCCCTTGCTGATTTTGCAGGTTTGCCCACTTACAAAGAATGCTTATTTTTCCTCATCAGATGGTTATCAATTTTTATAAATTCATATGATGTGATTTTCTTGAATTTTCTTTGGGATTCTGTCTTTCACTGTTAGAATGTACATATGATTAAAGTTATAGATCGTTGCATTCTTTGTAAGTGGGCAAACCTGCAAAATCAGCAAGGGGTCAAATACTTATTTCCCCCACTGTATCTTCTCCTTAGTGGAGCATTTAGTCTTGTCCCAAAGCTCCCGTAGCACACACCAGGAAAAAGAGGAGGTGGAATCTGGTTAAGAACTCCTCAGACTCTGTATTAGTGCAGTCGACCACAAGATGGCCCTATTTTTCCCCTTGTTGCTCCCTTTCTGGTAGAATATCTGCCCAAACGGGCGCTTACAGGTGGAGGGGAAGCATGTTTCTGTCTGGTTAGCACACATCTACGTAGAAGACGAGGTTTAAAGTAGCTCCGGTAATAAAACATGTTCGTGGTGGGTTTGTTGTTTGGTCAGAGCAGAAGAAAGACTGAAAGCTTTTATTCATCTCTGTTTTGATGTGACCCCAAAATACATCATTTGTACTATAGTCTAGAATATCGAAAGAAGACAGAAAGTGTTGTTTGATTAAAGAAAACTATTCGTAATTTGAATGTTGACGACCTGAAAATAATGCTTAAATGAATGTAATTAAAATCCCTGCTGGTTATCTCCCTTTTCCTGGAGACGGAGGGTTTTCTGTGTTTTAAAAGTGAATGAAGCAGATGCTGATACGCTCTTAATCCAGATAAACGTCTGAGAGCACTCTGACCTCCGGTGCCAACACACACTCACCTCTCTCTAAAGAGAAGAGCAAACCCGCCACACCTCTGCCTCAAGCGCCTCAGTGGTGCCAAGATCTAAAAACCAGTTGGTTGACATAACACCTAAAAGAACATCTAATTAGATTATAAAAAACAAACATGTCTATTAAAATACCATGTTCCCTCTATCTGGAAAAAGCACCCGAATGTGTTTCTCAAGGATTTGAAGGCCGTCAGTGGCTTCTTTGAGGAGCTTTTGCTGATGAGAATCTTGTAGGAAAAGTAGGTTATTACATCATTTGAAGCTCACGTCGTGCAGATATGAAAGTGTCACGTTATCGGGGACTAATGTGGGCTAAAGCCTGTTGTCAGAAGCATGACGCAGAAGATATGGCCAAGGACTGTGTGTGCATCACGATTACATGCATCAGCAACAGCCATTCCTCACTGATTAGCTTGAATAGTAAAACCTGTTCTTTTATCTAACCAGGATAACAGAAAAGTAAATTAAATGAGTCAAATGAGATGCGTGGAACCGCATAACTATGCATTGTATTCAGTAAATGTGTTCAGCCTGAATCTGCCTTTTTCATTTTGAGCCTTTAGGAGAATCAAGTGGAAAATGATTAGGATACAGTATGCAAATGATTAAAAAGAGATGATCTGAAGATTAAAACAACTAAGAAGTGATGTAGGACTTTTGAAGGAAACTTTAAACGGTTTAATTTCTGAACACTTTTTTTTTTAAATCCAGAAACAGTCCTGTGTAAAACCATTTAGATTCAAAACCCAACAACAAAACAGACATTTCCCTGAACCATCAAACCATTTATAGGACTGGAATGATTAGTTTGCCTTCCTTAAATAGGAGCTGCTCTTCCTTTAATCTAGTCATAGTTTGTCTTCAATACTTTCCAGTTTGCCCAGAGTCTCTGCTGATACTTATTCATGAACTGTAGGGTGGAGACTAACGCCCTTTCTCTGGATTTCCTCCCCGTTGGAAGGCTACTGTGCAGCTCCACTGAGAAGGCAGTGTTACCTCAGACATCCCACCAGGGAACCCTGCTTTCCTTTTCCTGCTGACATCTTTTTGAGGATTGGATATTTAGCCAGAAGGCGGAATATGGGACATCTGTCAAGGTGAAAGAAGTGGTGCTCAACTTTTGAAAATGACACTAACAATCAAAAGAAGGACAAGCTGATTCTCTAAGTTTATTTATTTAAATAGAACATATCTAGACGAGGTTTATGTTCAAAGTTAGTTGTATTTCCTGACTTTACGCATTTGAAGTGACATAATCTCTACAGGAGGTTGTATTTCCTGAAAAATAACGAAGACTTTACGCATTTGAAGTGACATAATCTCTACAGGAGGGTTTCAGGAAGTGTCTGTGCGCTGAAACTTTACGCACTTTCCAGCCAAAAGGAGTCCTCCCTTTCCCCGCCGATGCCTCCAAACTCCCACAATGGAAAGTAAGATCAACCCTAAGATGATTGCACACAGTTCAGCCTCCACCTCTGACCCCACGGACTCCGGGGTGAGCGACGTGATGGACGTCGGTTACCGGTCCGGCTCCAAACCACCGGCCGGTTGCCTGTCCTCCGTGCGTAATTTTGGCACGGCCGGCGTCCTGATGCACGGTCTGAGCTCCAACAGCGACTGCGCCGTTTTCAAAGACGTAACCGAGGCTGCCAAGCAGTTCTACGACCGAGAAAGCGAGTTTTTAAAGAGCGATCACGCTCAGTGGGACGAATACGTGAAGGTCCGGAGGACCAATTTAAGCCTGTCCTCCACCTCCGGCGCGTGCAAGTTCATAAAAGATGAGAAGGAGCCCACGGTGATCATGGACAGCTTCGACCCGGTCCCGGTCCCGGTCCCGGTCCCGGTCCCGGAGATGTCGGCCCTGGAGAGCTGCTGCAGCTCCGAAAGCAAACCCCTCCTGGGGATCGGTGAGGGGGGGGATCCCGGAGGATTTCCCCAGATCATCTCGGTCCCGCGCGCGGGGATGGAGGGATCCCCGAACTATGTCCTGGACCTGAACCAGTCCGAGCAGCTGGCCAACCCGGTAAGGACTGCCTCCAGGGCTCCCGGTGACCAGCCCCAGACGGTGTACAGGACTGAAGCTTGTCGTTGGCAGATGCAAACTTCCCCGACTGAGCCCCAGTTCTGGTGCCAGCCAACAGGGGGGACCGAGGACGCATTCACGGCCACCAACTACGACGGGATCCAGAACCAGGGTCTGGCCCAGAGGAACCCCTCACCTTTCTCCGGATTTCCCGGGTAATGAGTTGATTCACACAGATAAATCACCAGTTTCTGCACAAAGAAATGCATGCAAAACGCAGGT